TCACTTCCAAGGGAAAAAAAAATAACTAGAACATCCAAATGAAGCCCATGTTGAAACTAGCAAACCTTAATCCACAACCACTGGTCTGTTTGTTCTTGTTGTAGATCAGCCATTTTCCTTAGTATGCCAAGGCGGTGAATATATACAAAAACTATACATTACTGCAGATGGTACTATACCAAAAAAATACCATGTTGGGTAAAACCTCAATGCATAAGAAAAACAGTGAAAGACCATTTTAAACCAAGTTCCCCACAACAAATGAACAATAATAGAAGAACAATAAATAAAAAAAAAATGATAAAACTATATAGATCAAATTATAATCAAGCTTCGAGATTATTCAAGTTGGCTCACATACTACACTTAACTTCATAATATTATTTTACAATTCCTAGGGAGGCTACTCTACAGCAAAAGGGCCAAACAAAACCATATATTACCTGGAACATGGATTGTTTCAGTATGTGGAATGGATACGGAACGTCGCATGCAACATTTCTAAAATATGGTACGATAGAGGTAGAATGGTTCAAGAGTAGCCCAATTTGTGAAGGGATGAAAGATTACATTGGTTTGCAACTAAGCATCTCTGTCAACCTAGTTCCATGCAAACTAAGTTATAAAGATAAGTAAAATGAAACTGGGTAAATTATTAATAAAATTCGTTAACCAACAACGTAGTTGATAGGTGATATCGTGCCTGTTTGGCAAAATTAAAAGCAGCTTTATTTCAGCTTTCAGCTTAATTTAAGCTATTTGATTGTGTTTGGTTTAATTTATAGCTTACAGCTTATAACTTTTTGGAAGTCAGAATCAACTTATTCTTTGAGTGGGGCTGGAGATGCTTTAATTTATAAGTCAGAAATCAACTTATGTTATAGTTATAAGCTATTAAGCGTTTAGGCATAAGCTATAAGCATTTCCCACAACTCTACCAAACATAGGCTTCATGAACTAATGGCTGTGTGACAAAAATATACCCTTTGTCTATGTTTTGAGAGTTCATTATTAGTTCATAGTCTTTTTCACTCATTTAATTATGTACTCCTAGCAGCAACAGTTTTCAGCACAAATAAATGTAGTCCATGTCCCCCCAGCCCTAGCAATACAAACCAATTCGCAAAAATGGTGCATAATTAAAAATATATCATTCCACTGTTCAATGCTTATTCACATACTTTGGTACATGCAATGAAGAATTGGATCAAAGTGGTTCAGATAAGCATTCCACTTTCTGAAAAGTCGGGAACAGGGTAGAAATTCAATCTAAACCCAGGAAAACTTGTTCATTAAGAGGGGAGGGAGGAAGAGCTTCCAATTTAACTAACATAAAACACTGGTTTGTTTTGAACCACAACCATTAAATACAGCTTCCAGCACCTCCAGCTGATACCACAACAAAACATCCAAACATCATTCCACCAAAATGTCACTATGCAGAATCACCGCCCACAAATTTTATTTATTTTTATAAAAAGAATGAGGAAACAACCCCACATAATCAGGCACCATAACATATTCTACTGCGATAATGTTCAGCACTTGTAATAACAGTGCAACAACGCCGAAACCACTATTTCATTTTCCAAGAACAAGCCAAACACAACCATAAGCAGATCCAAAGACTCCACTTTTCAACTACTCCAATCTCTGCATCACCAACCCCAATTTACTCCAAAAATTAGGGATCTTTCTTTTATAAGCAACAAATTAGAGGTATCCTAGGCATCAACGTCACAATTCAAACCGCAGAAGTGATACACTAAATAAAAACTAAACAAGATTAGGGTTCATTTTCAAGAAATCCGTCTCACTTCTCCACTTTGAACACCTCATTTCTCATGAACTACATGCAAACATAGCCCTAATTAATTAAACACCACATAAAAAAAATTAAAAAAATGGTGAAGTGTACAAAACCCTAAATGGCATCCGAAACAGAGAAGCAGAGAGAGAGAGAGAGAGGTGGAATACATACATATTCACATAAAGCTAAGCTCATCTTCAGACAAGTGTGGCCCTCTTTAACCTTGGAAATCCACAGATCCAAATCCATCATCCCCACTCAACGAAATGTATATGTATGTAATATATGCCTCTGCGAGTATGTAGGTAGGTATGTGTGTGTGTTGCGCGCGCGGCCGCGCGTGTATATGTATATAATCACACAAACACACACCAACAAACTGTAGTGGTCGTTCACAAAGAGAGAATTTATTGTATTATCTTCTGTGTGAATGAATTCCCCTCCTCTCTCGCACGCTCGTTCTACCCAAAGACCAGAACCAAAAACGAAGAGGACGGCTCCAAGAAGAGTAGTTTTCAATTATATAAAATTAGGAACGGATTGTATTTATAATTATTATATATATATATATATATATATATATATATATATATATATATATGTGTGGATTATGATTTTTAATTTTTTAATGTCTTTCTTTTTTTATTATATTAAAGGTTTAATATTTTTGATAATAATCATATGTGTTAGACTTTTTAAGAAATTAAATATTTTTTTTATTTTTTATATTATATTAAAGTTTAATATTTTGATAATAATTATATTGTTAGATTTTTAAGAAATTTTTTATATTTATTCTAATGCATTAAAGTGTTATTATGAGAGATAATAATCTATGTGTTGAACTTTTCAAGGATTTCGTATGTGTGAGACTTTTCAAAGATTTTCATATGTGTTTGGATTTTTAAAAAAATTTTTTTTATGCTTGTTCTTAATGTATTAAAGTTTATTATGATGGTAGACTTAGGAGTTGGAGAAGTTAATAAATGTTAAGATTTTTTTTTTAAAAAAAAAAATAAAAAAATCAAAAAATTTAGATTGGAGATTTGAACTCCCACAAGACTGGGGTTAAAATCCCCGTTTACTTAATATATACGGAAATATATATATATATAATATATATTTGGTTTAGATTTTTTTTAATATATAATTATGTTTTTTTAAGTTTTTATAAAAAATAATAACATTCTTATCGCTAACCATTAGCGTATGGGAGAAGTTGAAAAGGTACTGCGTAACTATAACACGGATTGTATCTATAATTATTTGTATGAGGGAATTTAAATTTGATCATGGGATTTTGACCAAATCAATAAATCGAGGCATGTTGGAAAGACATGTGAATTGAAAAAAATTAATAAATACTATTAGGAAGAACTCCAATAATACTGAGTGGAGAAATTCAATAAATGTTGAGTTTTTTTTTTAAATAAAAAATAAAAAATTTAAAAAATTCAGATTGTGATATTGAAACTCTCATAGGCCTTAGGAGTTAAAAACTCTCTTTTATTTAATATATAGTATAGATAGATAGATTTCTTTATTTCTCTTTGACAAAATTGACAATCCCCTTCGTATTTTGTTATACTCCATTAATGCCCCCTCATTTTATACAAATTATATTTGCCTCCCCCATTTTTTTATTAACTCACTCTAACCTATACTTTTATATTTGCAAGAAGAGAGTATCAGACACCAACTGAAAATGAAAACAATGGTGATTAATGGTTTGGTTTTGTTTTTAAAATATGTTTCCTAAAAAATTATTAAAATTAATTTGCTCAAAATAAACAATAAAAATATATTTTTATATTTTTTAAATCATTTTTTAACCCCAAAAAGAGAGAGAGAAAAGAAAATGACGAGTTCTTTTATCTTTATTATTTTTTTCACTAAATTAATTTTTAATACCTTTCAAAAAAATAAATTTTGGCCGAAAAGAATGAGCTTAAATGGCCTGAATGACTGTTTATCGGATGACCGGCCGGATGATCGACCGAACATCCACACCGGACGACTGGATAAAACACTTGTCTACCGCAGTTGTCATCTTGTCGACCGCGACTATCAGCCTTATTGCCGGACGACCACAAGATGAATTCCGAGCCATTCGGGCTAAGCTCAAATTCGAACTACACAGTAGTGCTCATTTTAAAAACAATGGTTTGTTAGAAATATCCACAAACATTCACATTTGTTATAACTTATAATAGCAATAGATCTACACTACAAGAATTTACACTTTTGGCGACTAAATTTTTAGTCGTCA